GCCCCCTCCCACAAGGGTCACGCAGGAAGATCTGCAAGCGTTGTTACCACCCCCCACCACATCGATGGACCAGAAAACGCAGTCGAGCTTCCAGGTTCGTATTATTCTGATTTAATTAGGCAATTTCGTAATTTTTTAAATGTTACCTTTTTAATACATTTTATATTTTTTCCTGCAGGAGTTTCAAAGGTATCAGCAGCAGTACAACGCGAGGCAGCGAGCGGCGTCAAGGGCGGCCTCGCAACCTGACTGGAATGAACCCTATCGGGACACGCTGGGTCTCTCCATCCCCGACCTGCCTGATAACTGCGACCTGGACCAGTTGCTACCTTCCCTGGGGGCAGATCTCAACCTGGACGACACGGCTCTGTCGGCCATCTCAGATCTAGACGCCAACACCAAGCTGGATCTACTATACGATCCCCAGCAGCAGGATGGTCTCCCGAACACGAACGATTCCAACCCGGACGCCTTGCTGCAGGAGATCACCGGCGGCCAGTTCACGAGTACAAGTCTAAATGGACCATACAACTCAGAGTTACTACCCAGTACAAGTCAAACAGTTAATGATGTGCCTTCGAAAGTTTCGGATAGTTTTGAAAGTGTTAATGAGTCGAGTTTCATGCCACCCCCGCCTGTTCCCCAGCAGTCGACCTCCAAGTTTTCAAGTCCACATCATAATTCATCCCCTAACCATGCGATGGCGAGTCCGAACCCGCCATTTAAATCTCCCCCGAATGCCACATACTCCATGTCTCCGAATAATATAAATAATGACAGAATCAATGCAAGCCAATCCTCTATGCCTCCACCAATGAGACTGCCGGTGAGAGCGACTTCTTCAGTGGCCACGGCGACTGTTGGATCGCAAGCGACCGCTCAGGAAATAGAAGAACAGAGCAAACAGTACCTCATCAAAACCCTCATGAGGGATGATGATGTCCCACCACCTAAAGAACAGGAAAAGAAGGTAGAAGAAGTGGCAGTCGTTCAATGCAAACTTAAAGAAAATTCTTTAGACTCACCGGAGATTTTTGGAATAGCGAAAATCACAGAGGATGATAGTAAAAAAGAGGATGACTTGAAAACTAAGAATAAAATTATCAAGAAGGATAAAGATGATAAGCTGCTGGCGCAAAAAGGAGGAAAGCCAAGAACAGGGGGGGCGAAAGAGAAACCGGCTACGTTGAAAGAGAAAATAGTGCGAGATGGAAAGTCTACCAAAGTTGCCTTACCGCGGCCTCATGTCGCAAAACCAGCGCCCGTTAGCGACACACCTAAGTCACCGACGGGCGAGAAGGTCGACCCCTTTTCTTTAAAACTACGGTTAAAGTTAAAAGATAAAAATGAACCAGTAGTTCAGCCTGTGTACAAAGCTGATATCAGCTTTGTCAACCTGCAGTCTCAGAAAGAGGCTCTAACAAAACCGACGGAGGGTGAACTGAGAGTGCCACCGCTACATATCAGTCTAAGAGGTCGCAATTCAGCAGTTATTAAAAACTCCAAGAAAGAAAAGAAAAAATTTAACCCAGGAGATATACATATGAAGAAAATTAAAATTAGAAAATCAATAGATTCAGATGAGAAGTCCCATAGGCGGGACTCTGAAGAGTCTCTTGCGAGTAAATCTAGTGACGGCACAGAGATCATAAAGACTGATGAATATTTACATGGCAAGAACACCAAACTTAACAATCACTTTTCTGAAGGTGAGACCATCACCTCGATCCCTGGCGACCTTAACGTCGTCTACAGAATGAAGACTATATCAAAAAATTCTCACATCGTCACCAAACACGACTGCAAACTACTCAACAATAAAACACAATTAGACAGTTTAAAAATGAAAAAGAAATCAAAGTTCTTAGGCGAGAGCGGGAAAGCGATAGAGAAAGAAAGGGACAAAGATTGTAGGAACGATTTGTTAGAAAAGGAAGGGAAATACGCCCAGAACGAGGGTTACAGAGAGACTCCGAACAACCATGAGGTGAAAAAGAAGTTACCAACTCCAAAATCAGAGAAGGAAGGTAGTGCAAAATGTGATAATAAGTCCAGTGAAGTTAAGACTGTACAGTTGGACGGGTTTGAAAGTGTTAAATGTGGTGCTATTGAAGTGGACAGGGTTCAATGTCACAAGGGTTTAGAGCGGACGCTTAGTGCGGACGAACTGACGGACGGTAAGTTCGAATCGCACAGGGCAAGTGATGACAACAAATTAAAACGGACACTAACTGACAGTGCTATTACCTCACCCAATGGACTGATAACTTCCGAAAAAAAGCGGAAGACTAGCCATAGTTCCTGTCCAGGTATGTACAGTTTGTTGAAGCTTTGATTTATTGTTATAAATATCCAATAAAATATATTTTTATTCAAAAATTAACATTGCATTATCTACTCTGTGTAAAAATTTTTTGGCATTGGATTTGTTTTTGTTATGTTGCTCATTTAATTTTGCCCAACATTATCAATATGAGAAATAAATTTCTTAAGTTTTTTTAATAAACACACTGTTAGTTTTATTTACATATAAATTACATTATTTACATATTTTTTACGGAGCAGTTTATTTCTCTAATTGATTTGTTGGTTTCATATATGGTACATTGTGAATAATTTTAAGAATTTAATTTTATTAATGCAATCTAATAAAGTATTTAACTCTATCAAAATGTATTTTTTGCCAATTACATTATAGTTTATAAAGCATCACTAAAACGACATTTTTTCCAAATTATAAAACATAATACAACTAGTTAGTTTGGCAAATTATCTGTTTGTTACAGCATCACATAATAATTGGCTGGGTTTCTGGGAAACTATCATGTAGTTCTTATACAGTACAACGTTTTAAAAATTACTTACACGATTGGCGAACAAAAATATCG